AGTAGATAGTTGTATGTCATAGTTGCACATCCTTCTAGTTGCTGTATGTGGGACTCGGCCTCAGCATGGCCGGAGAAGCAGTGCGTCGGTGCGCGCCCGGGATCCGAACCCGGGCCGCCAGCAGTGGAGCGCACGCACTTAACCGCTAAGCCATGGGGCCAGCCCCTTGAGGATCCTTTTCATAAATTTGTTGGACACTTAGATTTGCTTTTTTGTGACATACCTATTCCTAAGTGTTCATTGAGTTGTCTTTTTATAGTTAGTTTGTAAAAGTGCTTTGTAGATTATAGAATTAATTCTTTTTTCCCTGTTGTACTACTTGTCTGTTGTCTTTATTTGCAATAATTTTTCATTCATATGTTTTAGATTTTTATATATTCAAATATGTCTTTTATAACTTTTGGGTTTACAGTCTTGGTTAAAAATATTGTTTCCACCATGGGTCCAGCCCAGCATAGTGGTTAAGTTCACACGCTCCACTATGACGGCCTGGGAGTTCACAGGTTCGAATCCCAGGCACGGACCTATGCACTGCTTCTCAAGCTATGCTGTAGCAGGCATCCCACATATAAAGTAGAGGAAGATGGGCACAGATGTTAGCCCAGGGCCAATCTTCCTTGGCAAAAAGAGGAGGATTGGCAACAGACATTAGCTCAGGGCTAATCTTCCTCACCAAAAAAAAAAAAAAAAAAGTCTCCACCTATATTTTCTAGTCTTTTAGATTTCCATAAAATGTTTTTACAATATTGCTTTTTAAAAAAAATTCATCAAGTATGATGTTGTAGATTTCTCATCATTTGCCTTTATCAGATTGAGGAAGTTTCTTCTATTGCTGTTTCACTGAGAGTTTTTTTCATGAATGGGTGTTGAGTGGCTATATATATATTCAGCCATTCCTTTTCATGAATGGCTATATATATATTCAGATTTTGTTTACATTTTTGTCAGTTTTAATTAATCGTATTTTTAAGGAATTTCTCCATGTCATGTAAGTTATTAAATTTTTTGGTGTACAGTTGTACATATTACTTTCTTATGCCTTTCGTGTTTCTAGTCTTTGTAGTGATAACCCCTCTTTCATTCCTGATATTGGTATTTTGTGTTCTCTCTTTTTATCATTCTGGGTAGGCATTTGTCAATTTTGTTAATCTTTTTAAAGAACTAACTTTTGTTTTTAGATACATTTAGTTAACATTAGTTCTAGGTTTTTGTTTTCTGTTTCAATGATTTCTGCTTTATTTTTATTGTTTCCTTCCTTTTCCTTATTAGAGTTACTTTGCTTTTTTTTTTTTTAAGCTTTTTTAAGTTGGAACCATAGGTCTTTGATTTTAGACCTTTCTCTTTTTTTTCCCCCTAATAAGCATTTTTTCCTGTAAGAATTTTAAAGCTATAAATTTCCCTCTAAGGACTGCTTTGGCTGCATCCCAGAAATTTTAATATGTTGTTTTTTCATTATCAAAAAATATTTTCTAATTTCCCTTAGGAGATCTTTTTTGACACATTCAGTTATTTATAATTGTGTTGTTCAATTTGCCAAATTTTAGAAATCTTGGATATCTTATTGTTTTGATTTCTAATTTAATTTAATTGTTACCAGAGAAAATACTCTGTATTTCAGTTCTTTTAAATTTATTGCAACTGCTTTATGCCTCGGTATATAGTCTTTGTTGGTAAATACATAGTCGTGTGTCGCTTAATGACAGGGATACGTTCTGAGAAATGCATCGTTAGGTGATTTCATTGTTGTGTGAACATCATAGAGTGTACTTATGCAAACCTAGATGGTATAGCCTACTACACACCCAGGCAATATGGTACTAATCTTATGGGAGCACCATTGTATATGCGGTGAGTCATTGACTGAAACATCATTATGCAGCATGTGACTATACTTAAAAAGAATGTATATTCTATAGTTGTTGGGTATAATGTTTTATATTATATTGTTAACCTACAGGAGGTTATCAATAAGGTTAAGGTAGTTGATAATGTCATTCAGATCATCTGTTTCTCCTGACTTTTAATTAAGTCAATCAATAAATTAATAAGTAATGGTATGCATGTTTTATGAGTTGCTAAGATGAGGTGTTAAACTATTCCAACTGTGATTGTGGAATTGTCTACTTCTCTATTTCTGTCAAGTTTTTGCTTCATGTATTTTGAAGCTTTACTCTTAGGTACTTACACATGTATGATATGTCTTTGGTTTCACTCTTTTATCATTTTGATGTGTCCTTCATAATTTCTGGTAATATTTTTGTCTTGAAGTTTGTTTTATCAGAGGTTATTGTAACTCCTCCACCCTTCTTATGCTTACTGTTTTCATGGTATATCTTTTTTGAGTCATTTATTTTCAACCTCACTGAATTGGTATAATTATAGTTCTTCTTTTAGAAACAGCATATAGTTGGGTCTTGCTTTTGTTTTCCAGTCTGACAGTATCTGCCTTTTAGAGTGTTTGATCCATTAACATTTAATTTAATTATGGATGCAGTTTGATTTAAGTTCTCTGTTATTTCTTCATTTCTCTTTTC